GCGAGTTTTGGCTTGTGTATGGAGTCTATACTTTTCATTCATCCAGTTCCCAATTATTTAGAAATTGTATTAATCCTTTTTCGCGTTTTTTCCTTTCTTTTTTCCCCTCTTTTTTTCCTCTTTTTTTCCTGTTTTCTTCATGCTTACCCCCCTCTACTCCGTACCCCTGCACCCCTTACCTTTTGTGGCGTTTGAGTTCATGGCAATAATATTTTTGTGGTTGCAACATCCAAAAAACAGCAAGTTCGAGCTCTACTAATAGCGAAAATGGTCGGCCGACTTCCGGAATCTGCGATATTGAATCTCGGCATGATAGGCTATGGGGGTGTTTTCTTTTTGAAGACAGTCTGATTCAACTTGGTTGGCCGAATCTTGGCCCAGACGGGATCCACCGGATCAACCCGCTCGGCGGCAGTGGACCCCCGTCCGCGTGCACTCAGAATGTCCTCTGTACATATGTACAATGCGGCAAATGCGTCTGCGATAGGATGAGATCGAGTCCGGGATGCACTGGTTGTAATCAAAATGTAACTTCGTTAATCTAAGTCTGGCTAGTACAAAGCAATGGTCTCAGCCCTTGATTTATTCACAAACTCAAATTATATAGCTTCAATTTTAATGGTTAGCTCCCGAATGGCTCGAATACGGAAGCCGGGCTTGGGAAAGCGGTACCCTGCCTATCTTCCAATCAACATCCATCCTCATGACCTGACTCCAATCAACATGATTCTGCTGTAACATGGCCCAAGCCGTCCCAAGGAACAGTCTGGCCTTTATTAAATCTTATTTTAAATGGATCTTTTTAATCCTTCCAGTCCTTTCGGGTTAGGTAGCCCACTAGAAGGATTACGGATTATTTCCGTATTGAAGTCTGCACGACTCCCAACAGAAATTGGTCTAGGTGGCATGACTAATTGTGTGATTTGGCACAGAGTTAACCCACAAGCGGGGTGAGACATGGTCTGAGTTGTATTTCATATAGATTGAGGCAATCAAGCTGGACTGTGTTACTTGAACTGCGCACCATACTTTGTTCACCATGTCTGATTCTCCAATTCTGATTATCGGCGCAGGTATCAGTGGCCTCGTACTGGCCCAATACCTTCAGCGACATGATGTTCCGTTCAGGATCTTCGATCGAGACTCCGCAATTGATGCCCGAAGTGGTGGATGGGGTCTGACACTGCATTGGTCACTCCCTGCCCTGCGTGATTTATTGCCAGAACACCTCGTTGAGCGGTTCCCTGAAACATTTGTCAACAAAGAAGCGTCTGCCCGAGGCGATGTCGGTCGCTTCCAATTTTTTGACCTTAAGTCGGGAGACGCATTATACAATATTCCTGCCGCGGAGCGCATTCGCGTCAGTCGTGTTCGCCTGCGACAGTTACTGACAACCGGCGTGGATGTTGAAGTAAGTTGTAATATTGTCGTCTTTAGAATAATCTGATAGGCGCTAACGTCGATTAGTGGAACAAAAACCTTCGTAGTATCGAGTCTACAGCCGATGAAATCACCGCGAGTTTTGAGGATGGTACATCTTACACCGGGCGGCTACTGGTCGCATGCGACGGTTCACGGTCGCGCACACGCGAGATTCTTTACCCAGGTTTACAGATGAACCAGTTACCAGTGCAGCTTCTAGGTGCATCGACACTATACAGCGCGGAGGAGCTAGGCGGCATTGAGTCAATCGACCCTTTCATATTCCAAGGCTCTCACCCTGAGTCCAACGTCTTCCTATTCTTCAGTTGTGAGTTCGACTAATCCTCTGCTCTCCTTTACAGGTTACTGATGTCTTTAGTTCTGGATACCCCGAACAACTTCGAGAATAGTAGCAAGGACCGTTACCACTGTCAAATCATCACCTCCTGGGCAGATTCGAAGGAAATTCCTGTCCCAGACGCGAACGCCGAGCGGATCACGTTGATGAAGAAGTTGACTGATAATTGGTCGGAACCATTCCGCTCACTGGTACACAAGCTTCCCGACGACGTGGAAGTGCGCTCGATTCGCATCGAAGATTGGATGTTCAGCCCGGGCAGGGCACACGCGCATCCCCGGGCGGTATTGATGGGTGACTCGGCTCACACAATGACTATGTGTATGTGATTCTTTCAATCATTATTACGTGGCCGTGGTAGTATCTCTAACCTCAACCAGTCCGCGGAGAAGGCGCCAACAACGCGATCGTCGATGTGTTGGATCTCGTGAAGCGTGTTGATATGCGCCAGCCAAGGTATGAATCTAACTACCTTCCAACTCTCTTTGATTAGGTTCAAACTAATGATCGCTATTTCAATCACCAGGTCCTTCGATTCCGAAGCCTTGTTATCCTCCCTTGCGGCATATGAAAATGATGTCTTCTCACGAGCTGAGCCTAGCTTCCTCAACTCCAGACAGGCATGTTTAGATGCTCATGACTTTTCTAAAATTAAAGGAAGTCCACTGGTTGGGTTACGAGATTTGAAGAAATCCGGCTGAAGTTACTAAGATCTGTCACATGTGATTGTATAGAAACTGCGAAATTTCCCGCCCGAGGAAATATTTCAAGTGAAAACGGGATAAATTATACCAGAATAGAGTAATCCCAATATCAACTAGCTGTTGAGATTAAGACCTCGGGATATCATGGGTGTTGGTAGTTGCTCAGATCGATCCAAGTGCTTATCAGTGCCAAGTCCCCGAGCCAGTCTCACTCCCGGCCCCGACCTCCACACATTCCATTTCTCCCGGTACCAGCGGAAAATCCAGGCCTGGAGTTATCAACTCAAATTGAGAAGAAAAGGCCATTCAAATGCAAGGCTGACGGGCAATGAACCACACCGCGTCAAATCAAGCGGCTACGGTGCGCGTATCGCAGCGTCAACCGCAAGCCTGCCGAGGTAAATGGCGAACTTGTGCTGCGGAAATTGTAAGCGACTGACATGATGCAGAATGCACGAAGCGCAAACGCAAATGCGACAAACAAAACCCCTGCTCGAGATGTAAACGCTTAAATCTGAAGTGCTCAATAGAAGTCGTCCAGCTTAGACGCAACGCTGTGCAGCATGGGTCAGAAATTCGGTTTTTACGTTCGCTTTTGGTAGACATTGAATCGTCTCCACCTGATCCAGTACTCCATGTCGTTGAAAAGATCAAAAATCGAATATTTCGGCTGGAGACCGGCCAGGATCCTACAGAATCAGATGTATCCAACACCACTTCGGCGCAAGAGGAATTAAGTACAACTGAGGACCGTGCACCTAGCAAAGTGTCGCTCGGTTCAAATGAAAACACCTCTCATCAAATTGACTCATCGCTTCTCACGGCCATTGAACATCTTGCTTGGGGTCGTAATTCCGCTGGATGCTTCCCTCACAGGACGTGCTCATGCCAGTATCGCAAAGATGGATTCCAATCGCTATCAGGCCCTTCCCCAGTCAATGGACCTAATCTGGGCCTGAACTCCTCTTTTCCCAGCACTCCGGACGCCCGGAAGCTGATCAAGTTCCATATATGCAATGTAGCCTGGCATCATAATTGCATCCATGGTCCAACATTTCTCGAGCAATGCGAGTTATTCTGGGAGACTGGGAGATTTGATGACCCTCTATGGCAAGCGCTGTACTTTTCTGTCTTGAGTGCCACCGTCGGTTCAATTCAAGATAGTACGAAAGTAAGAGAACTTGTTGATGTCGACCTACAGGCAATACCATCAACACAACAGCTGTTCTCTGCTATGGTCCAAACACTCTACAACTCACATTTTCTCAGCAATCTCTCCGTATACTCTGTTCAAGCAATCGTCATATCGACGGAGGTCGCTCATAATCTTGGTTTAAGTCAACTGAACGCGACTTTATTCAATGCCGCAGTGCGCATTGCTGAGTGCCTTGGGATCCACAAGATTCAGGATCAATCAATAAAACCTGCTCAAAACAAAGATGAATGGGATGAGAAGGTGGAACGAGAAGTGGGAAAGAGAGTATGGTGCCAAATGATCATCCAAGACCATTTCGCCATTCCTTTTACCGACACCTACAGCATCTCTCCGATGCATTTCTCGACAGGTCCCCCAATGAACGCAGATGACTATGACTTGACGGATATGCCTATCACATCTCCCACCATAAGCACGTACATCCGTGTGCTCGTAAATTTGGCAGAATTGATGCCCGGTCTGGTTGACGGATTAGGTCCAATGAAATCCAGAAGGCCTATTCGAGAGCAATACCAACATATTCTGCATATAGACCAGAAAATGAGAGGCATTGTGAAAAACATACCCTCTTTCCTCCTACGCGCCGATAAGACCAAGGAAGCACAAATTCCATGGCTTGCTATCGCTCGACGAAGTCTCGCTATCACTGCAGCCGAGAAGATTATCATGATCCATCGGCCGTTTCTCTTCCGCTCTTTCAATAATCAGACATATATCTACTCAAGACGTACTTGTGTTGCCGCTGCAATGACAATTTTGCGAGAACACGAGGTAATAATAAGAGAAGGGGATATCTCGATATGGACCCATACAGCCTTTGTGATTACCGCTGCGGTCATTATGTGCTTTGAGGTTAATGCAACTGCAGAGAACCAAGTCGCTATCGCCCAAACCCACAAGGATGCAATAGTCGCAGCTCGCACCCGCCTTGCTGACCGAACTAATGACGTGCTTGCTCAGCGAGGTGTTGCGTTGATCGATGCTATCTTTACTGCAGACATAACCTCAGACTCTGCAGGACTTGGCAAGAAAATGATTGATTTTGGTCAAATTCTGGCCAAGTTCTCAACTTTTACAAGAATGAACTTAGGTCCTGACACCCCGGACACATCTGCTGGCCGGTTCTCGAATGCTGATCCTCAAGATGTGATCGGTGCCCATTTTAACGAAATGCAACCGGCTTGGGATACAGCGGAAGACATCGATTTCGATGCATGGTTCAATGAGACGTTCCACACTCTACATGACCCACTTCAGTTTTAAGACGAGCGAAAATTTACAATCGCTCAAAGCGACTCCTTCAGTGAGCAATTCCAGCCATTGCGATATCTTTAATTAATTCCCTCACATAACCTGTGTCGTTCACTCCCTCGTAATCCCAGAAGGGCTTGGGGGAGTTGTGCTTGTCATTGTGCACTGCCAGAGCAACCTCCTCCTGGTCCTGGTCCTTGTACTTGGCCAATTGGCCAGTAATACTGTGCATTACACCTCTGTTGTGGAAAATGACCACATCACCCTCTTGCCAATGGTGGGCATAGATGTTCTCAGTAGCATATATCTTACTCTGCGTCTTGTATACCACTTCTCTAACCTTCTGAACATCATCCATCACCGTGATCTCGCCTGTCGCTGGGTTCCGCGTGGTGAGCTTGTAAACGCAACAACCATGCACCTGTAAGAATGGCCGGTCGGGATTGAGCGGGTTTCGCCATACCATCTGATAAACGTTGTGACCCGATACACTTTTCTATTGTATGAAGTCGGAAAGGCAACTTACTGGGTGCTCGGCGACTTTGTCCCACGCCCATTCTGACAAATTTTCCACTGTTACCTCCCGTCCAAAATTGAGGATCGTCAGACCATCTTCGGAGGCTTTGCATTGGCGGATATACTCATATGCTTGAGGAGCATAGGTGACTGTGGTATTGAGAGCGAACTCTTGTTCCTCTGGCGTCAACAGAGAATATACACGAGCGCCGGAAAAGACTATGCTGAGGTCAGTGGTCGGACCTATCTGCGTTTATTCGGTTTACTCACAAGCCGTGGCTCCAGCACTGATGGTCTTCTCTTTCCCATCAGGAAACTTGATCTTCTGATCAGGTGTATTGGGGATACAGATTGAGTGCAGGATAGTCACTTCACCTGACAGACGCTCATAGAAAGGGGTATCCATGTGCCAGCGGTATGGGCGGGTATAGCCGTCATCTAGTTACTCTTGACTGAGAGGCTACTCGTGAAACAAGGTATGATCCTGTCTCGCTGGTCAGCCAAACAAAAGTTTGGAATGTCGACCAGACGGGGGTTACGAACAAGATGCACCACCTCCAACTCCTTTAGACCCTCATAATCCTGGAATTTCCCCGAGCCAATGATTCCAACCTGGGAGGCTCTGGGGATCCTCCCTGCTTTGTAGGCAGATAATATGTTCTTCAGGTCGCTCACAGCTTTCTCTCCGGCTGAATGGATGTCAGATGCATTAGGATCGAAAATCTTAGCGAGCTTCGGCAAGACGGTAGGGTCAATGCCTTTTTGGTTCCTTATGACAACGACTTGATTCTCGAAAAGAGCTTTTCGGAGAGTATCCTTATCGTTGTCGGTTAAGCGGTCCAAATCCAGCATGGCCATTCCTGGAGGCAGTTGGATTTCCGCGCCAGTGGCGGGGCTTTGTCTGATTTCACCAGTCAGGAGATTGAAGGTCAGACTTGTTAATTCAGGCATTGTGCACTTCGAATGAATTTTTAAAGTCTTTTCAACTGGTAATATTGGATATACTCTCATCGTGGAGTATAACGCAGCCTTTAAGCAGAGACGAGAATGGAGCAGAGCGGACGAGGTCACCGATTTGTACCACCATTCTTGATAAGACCAATATCTCAAATCTGTCTAGTCCCAGCATAACCCCTTTTGTATCATCATCTCGATGAAGCATAATGCTGGGAACCTACCTGGGTGTCTCCGTAGACGGGTGAGCTGCGGGAGCTCACCCACACCGTCCTGATTGGCCCTCGTGGTACTATGGCATATACAGTCGCTCCACGGTAGCATTCATATTGGACCCATCCTTATATTTATTTCAGCCGCTTTATTCGCAATGGCTACCATGACCTTTTCTTGCAAGTCTGTTACCAAGCCCGATGATTCTCAGGTAGACTTTGGGGCTGAACTCATCGGCTTCGATGTTGAAACAATGACAGGTAAGCAATGTCCGAAGCAACATTATTGGGTTTAAATTCTAATTATTATCAGATGGTGATTTTGATTTTCTCCGTCGCGCATTGTATGAGAATCAAATCGTCGTAATCAAAAACCAAGGCAAACTCTCCCCACGTGCCCAGTGCGAACTCACCCGACGCTTCGATCCTGTTGCCGGTGTCTATAGTCATGGGAAATCAATTGACAAGCGCAGTGTTCTCCATGCCGACTTGACAACAATTCCTCATCAGCCGCAAGTCCAAGTTATCGGCAATGGCTTCGTCGAAGAGTATGAGGGACTCTCAAACATCCGCCTGAAACACCCACACCACAAGACATTCCACAAGAACCCCATCTCGTCCGAAGAAGACTATGATTATACACACTTCTACCGCTGGCATATTGATTCTGCCATGTACAATCTCGATCCGCCTTTGGTTACCACGTTGCTGACTGTCAAAGTCCCCGAGGGCCGCCGCCCAATCTGCCGTTATGACGATGGCACGGACACCACACTTGACGTTCCTCTTGGCACAACGGCATTCTTCAGTGGATTCTGCCTTTACGATGTGCTTTCAGAGGAAGATAAACATTTTGTCTGCACCAGCAAGGCTGAACATGCACCTCATCCATAAATCTAGATGAGCAACGCCAAGCCACGCTCCAATGGCTTGGGAATTATATCAGAAGGATTGGAGCTTGTCTAAGACCAGTTGCCTCCTTTTGAACCTTCTAAAATCAAGGTATATCCTATAGCTTGGAAGAATCCCGTCACTGGCAAGATTGCAATGACGGTTTACCCAACTTGTGTGCAGAAAATCCATCTTGAGAACGGGCAGGTACTTGACAATCCCGCGGAGATTCGAGAACGGCTATACAAGATGCAAAGACCGGCCATTGATCCTTGCTATTTGTATACCCATGACTGGGAGGAGGGTGATCTAGTGCCTTTCAACAACCATGGCGTGATGCATTTGATTGTTGGTTCTTTCGAAGAAAATGAAGTGCGGGTGTTCAGACAATGTAATATGGCAGCCAGTCGACCTCCATTGGCACCGAAAGACACTGTGTCTAATTTTTAGTACATTAATGAAGATAAATACATCCAGGCGGTTCTGATTTACTATAATATTAAACTCCCCGTCCCCAAGCTAGCAATTAGTTCGTCATCATGCTTCTCGCACACTTTACTTATAGTGAGAGCCTCGATGTTGAGGACCCGGAAGACCACCAACAAGCTGGTGGGCGAGACAACCTTGGGCCACTAGCCCATTTTGAATAAATACATTTCATTTTGAATAGATACATTTGGGAATTTTTTCACTCTCCATTGCTATCGAATGTTAGCATTGCATTCATCTTATGTCACGGGATCCCCGCCACTCCCGTAGACACAACGCACTGTTGAGATGGGGGCATGTTCAGGTGCAACACTGGATCATATTATTAACAAACACATCAAGCACATTGAGTTTGCGCTTATGCAGGTTGTGGGTATTCCCGCAGACCAGCCATGTGTCCCCTGCCAGCGGGGCCATCACCTGTGCGGTTCTTGAGAGTAACTCAGACCTGACTGCATGCGCACGATGTTGCTTTGGGAAGCAACGACATAAGGTGCACTCATTACAAGTCACCTTCTTCGGAAAACACAGGAAGCAAACGCCGAGACCGCGAAATTGAAGATCGAGAGAATATTGACTGGCTCCAGAAGTGAATCACCGAAATCAATGTAGCCCTTGATGAAACCAGGCAAACGATTAAAGTTCTACGCGAGGCTACTCAGCGCAACATGGCTGCCGATGAGACCCATCAAACGAGGAAGGTGCTCGCCGAGACTGTACAGCTCCATAATCGGCAAGTTTCCCTGGCTCGGGCCGATAATGAGTTGTTTCACAGGTGAAACCAGGAGATCTGCCGCCTAATTCACGACGCTGGACAGCTCCAATGAGAGGATGATGAGGCTGCGACACCGATTGACCCCCACGGCCATAGCCTTGGCCGCGGCCGTCGCTAAGCGGTGCCAGATTGTTTGGCCAAATTTTTGTTCTCGATGTTTCCCTTCTCAGAGCACTGCTCAACACACCAAAAGGATAAGTTGGTGGTTAGCGTAAGGTGTATTGAACTCTTTTTTTTCGTACTAGATAATTAGTATCAGATCACTAACTAGAGCGGGATGTTGTCTTAAGTTGCTAAGATCGAACTTTGTGAGACTTTCTAGATTAGACCATCCGTAAAAAATAAGTCACTATCGGAAAAAGTACTGTATTTGCCTCCAGGATTACTCCGAATGGAAATGGAAAAGCTGGCGAGAGTGGGTGAATCACCTCTAATCGCGCCATCACCGCACCGGCCGCTTCATTTAGGTTATGTCCGCTGCAGCACGATGCAGCACTCTGAATTCGGAGCTAGGAACCGAATTTTATACTAAATTAAGATATTTATATTCAACGGTTTAAAGTAAAATGTAAGTATCTAGAAGTTGCTACAATCTTACAAACAAATGCTCTTCTGTTATCACGTCTTCGGAATATCGTGCCCCCCTCCCCCCTTCACCTCCTCAAACATGATGCATGATGCATGATAACATGACTTATTCATTTATATTGAACCATGGGGAGGCACTTAAATGTCTCCAATACTCCAATAATGAGACCTTTTTCTAGAAATCGAATTAGCCGCTAATTCATTGCTTTGATTGGTCTGGGTTCGAATCCTGAAGGTCGAAGTTGGAGGCAAATGCACTAAGAGATAAGCTCATCAAGCCGCCTCGGCACGCCATTCACCATTTAAGCAGCCGCTACCGAAGTCACCCCGAAGATGTGCCCTTTGTACTTGGCATGTGTGGCCTAAAATTGTAAAACGCCGTTCATATGATCCTTTTTAGCCTTTTTTTGGGCGATGCTATTCCTTCTTTGCCACGCTCTTACTACTTAAAATTGCACTACCTCACAGGCGATTTAAGAATATCCTCGACGTATAAGATAACCCCCACTTATGTGAACGCGTCGTATGCCCGCGCGGGGTTGCATACGGTTAGATAATGTTAGATAGACACCTGGGGAGAATATTGATCCTCAGCCAATTATTTGCCAATGTAGCTTTGTTGCAGGGATATATATCGGTAGCGTAATAAATACTGTAAACAGTTAAAATTATATGCGACATCCCCAAACACACCGTAAACAATCTAGTAGGTCGCCCGATCTATTATCTAGTCTTGCTGGTGTGCGTCAGCAGGTGTTCATAGCTCAACCGGTCAGACTACCCAAGTTAGTATGAAGCCATATGGATTTAGACTAACTTTCAAGCTTTGGCGTATTTGTATGTCGGAGGGAACTTGTTGCCATTCTGGGTGGATCTATCGTGACCGTCGGATGCTGGCTTGGCCCAAGCCACGCGAGAAAAAAAGGACCAGCTGCAAACTGATATTAAGAACCCGGCTTCCGGTGTTTTTTCTATATCTCATCCCATTCCTTTTATTTTTCCGTGCTCCAGCCTAAAATTAATCCAGATATGGCGAGTTCCAAGGATCCCACTAAAGATCCAAATATAACAGAGGCGCCGGCGGTAGCGACAGATCTCGAATCTGAACACACCAGTCAAGATCCAAAAGAATGGCTGTACAAATCGGACAGAGCAGAACTCACAGAGCTCACGCCAGTCGAAGCGTTCAAATGGAGTGTGGAGGGAGACCAGTCGCCTTGTAGGCTGACCTACATATCCCAACTCACAACAGCTGATGTTAATATTTCTTAGTCCCAGAGGTTGCGGCCTGTGTGTCCAACAAAGATGATCCCACAATAGCCTGCAACAGTAAGTTATTGATATTTCCTGTTAAGGGGCCGAATTAACTCTCCATTACAGCTGTTCGCGCCTGGATATTGATGACTGTCTTTGTTATACTTTTCTCCGGAGTTAATCAATTCTTCGGCCTACGATATGTATGTTTCAGGTCTCTCCAATTGGTATTTACATATTTACTAATATCTACTAGCCTTCCCTCACAATAGGCTACGTCGTCGCTCAAATTCTCGTTTTCCCAATTGGCCGAGCATGGGAAAAGCTTCCGAGATGGAGGGTCCCTCTAGGAAAACTTACATTCGATGTCAACCCAGGAAAATTCACCATCAAGGAGCACGCCTTCATTGTTATTGTGAGCAAGAGCCAAGCTTTGGTTTTGTGGGAGTTCTATCGTGAATTGCATCTAACATACCAAAACAGTGCGTCAATATTAGCGCCACCACTGCTTATGCCCAAGGTGCCTTGGTAGCAATTGTCAGTCCTGTATATTGGAACCGCGACCTCGGACCAGGGTTCTCATTCTTATACCTTTTGACGACTCAGATGATCGGGTAAGTGGATTCTGGTTTTTCCATTTTATGTAGTCGCTGATCTTTCTTAGATTTGGTCTTACAGGTCTTGCCCGCCGTTGGATTGTGTACCCTGCTGCCTTGGTCTGGCCTACTTCCCTGTCATCCACTGTTCTTTTTCAGGCGCTACATGATCCTGAAAGCCGTACGCCAGCCAATGGTTGGACTATTACGCGGTATCGCTTCTTTGGCTACGTGACGTTATTCGCATTTGTTCTATTCTGGTTCCCGGACTACATTTGGACAAGCTTGAGCACTTTCGCTTTTGTGACGTGGATTGCTCCTAACAATCAGAAGGTCAACACGATTTTCGGAGTGAGTTTGCAGAAATTCTCAGTCTCTACACGAAATTAACCCCATTTTGCTTAGATGAATTCCGGATTAGGTCTGATACCTATCAGCATTGACTGGACGCAAATCAACTACGCTGGTTTCCCCCTCACGACTCCCTTCTACATCACATGCAATGCCTTTGCTGTCGTTGTGTTTTTTTACCTTTTCTTATCGCCCATTCTATACTACACTAATGTGTGGTATAGCGCATAGTAAGTTTCCAGTCTGGTGGGAGGGAATTTCCAATATGCTGACGATCTAGCCTTCCTCTCCTCTCCTCTGGCACCTTCGATAACACAGGAAGCTCCTACAATGTAACTCGTGTGCTCGACTCGGCTTTAAACTTCAGCGAGAGCAAGTACAAGGAGTACTCTCCCATGTATATCTCAATGTCTTATTCCCTCACCTATGGACTATCTTTCGCTGCGGTTACCGCAATCGTTGTCCACACCTACCTTTACAATGGAACTGAAATTTGGGCGAGGCTTAAGAATGCACAACATGGAGGTGAAGATGTTCATCGCCGACTGATGCGCCAATATAAAGAGGTCCCAGAATGGTGGTACGGAGTTCTCACGGTGGTCGTGCTGGGACTTGGTATTTTGACGACCAAGTACTGGGACACTGAACTGCCAGTTTGGGGCTTCATCGTGGTTTGCTTCGGATTGGCAGTACTTCTCATTGTCCCTGAGGGTATTCTGCAAGGAACGACAAACCAGCGCGTGTTCCTCAATATCATTACGGAGATGATCGCCGGATACGCCTGGCCCGGAAAGCCCATCGCTAATCTAATGGTAAAATGCTATGGTTATAATGCAGTCAAACACGGCATGGATTTTGCTCAGGATTTGAAGCTCGGGCAATACATGGTATGCTCCATTTCCCCTCTGCTACTCGACTTTTACTAATTATTTAGAAAATCCCTCCCCGTGTTCTATTCTTTGGCCAGATATATGCTAGTATTCTAGCGACAGCAACTCAGACTGGAGGTATGATGTTTTGTCAAATCTGTATTGCGATTTTAAGCTGACGAAAGCAGTCTTGCGATGGATGATGGGGCACATTGATAACCTTTGCGAACCAAAAAACAAGGAACGTTTCACATGCAACGGTGCCAAAGTGATGTACAACGCTTCCCTAATTTGGGGCCACCATTGGTCCCCAGCGGATGTTCCAGTCCGGACAGGTGTACAATGGCCTTGTCTACTTCTTCCTCATTGGGGTGAGTCTTCAAACGCCTTGATTAGATGTTGCTTTACTGACTCTCCAGCCCGTCGTTACTGTAATTGTGTACTTTATCTACCGGCGCTACCCCAATAGCTGGGTTCGCTATATCAACGTTCCGATCTTCTTCAACGCGGCAGGCAACATTCCTCCTGCAAACACCAGTATGTCCCGCGAAACATTCCTGATGGAGTTATTCTAATCTAATCAAACAGCCCAATACTCCCTGTGGTTCATCGTTGGCTTTATCTTCAATTACCTGATCCGCAAACGTGCATTTGACTGGTGGAAGCGTTACAACTGTGAGATCCTACTTGCCCAAGTTTCCCCTTGTGAGAACAAGTCACTAATTCACGATGTGCATAGATTTGCTCCAAGCTGCCATGGATACCGGCACTGCTATCGCAACGATCATCATTTTCTTCGCGCTAGGCTACCACTCTATCACTTTCAACTGGTGGGGAAACACAGTGGGATCTAATACGTACGATGCGAAGTCCGTCCCTTGGTTGACTGTTCCCAAGGGAAGCTTTTTCGGAAAGGGTCCTGGCGAGTTTTGATTGAAGACTTATATATGATTGAATCCTTTTCAAGGCACGCTTAGCGCTAGAAGACTATGTTCATACTCCCAAGAGATCGAAACATAGAAGGTTCAAGCACGAATGCCTAATTTACTCCCACCTTTTTCAAAGGTAGTTGTTTTTCACTCCATTAAAAAGCTAGAAACAAACACATTCTCCTAAAAGTCTTCAGTTGACCGAGAGCTTTATCTCACCGTTCTAGGTCTCTACTATATTTACGAGAAGCAGACAGGTAACTACTCCCAACGGCAATCTACCATTCTTCTACTTCAATGGTTAAGACATAACCTTCGTGCTTTAGTTGCATATGGTTAATTAATGATACCAAGTGAGCCCAACTATGGATGGATGGACAGAAGCACGGAGAGGATCTGCAGATGGAGAATTAAGCAAACATAGTAACTACTTGATGGACATATTTTTGTAATCAACCCCGGACTCGGGCCCATCTCTTTTTTTTTTTTTTTCCTAATATAATCAATTAATAACCATAGATATAATTCTAGACATATATTGCTTTCTCGATATCATTTTCCGTAAACACACACATAACTATACAATAGGATTAATCCCACTGAAGCCCCAGGGATATCCGTGGGATAATCTTCATTTTTCTATGTCTTGTATCATTCATGTCTTATAAAATTCCCTGTCATTCCATATTATGATAGATTTTGCACGAGATTCTTGGCTTATAGCGAAAGCTCACAGCCATTATAATAACACCCGCATGTTTAGAAATCCCACTACTAGTGGGCTCTTTACATTTTAGAGAAAGCCGAGTACTATTAGCTAGTAACGTAAGAAACAAGAACTTTAAAACAATAATATAATAATATAATACATCCGGTGTCCTGAGCATTTGCTTTGACAATTATATAATCAACACCCAAGGTTTCCGAGGTACAAGGTTCAAAGTTCCCCGGAATCCGTTTGTTGTTTATCTTAACGTCTGAGATGCTTAGGAGCAAGGTCTTCTAATAGAATTCCGGGAATTCTCGAGTGCTTTACGGAGTATTAAGTCATTTAATATACAGCACCTTAATGTTAACTCGAAGTTCCGAGGAAATATCTAGCGGGTCGAGCGCGTGCCAAGCCAAGAGTATATGCTTTGGATATTGAAGTCTTGCTCAGATTTCGAAGGGAACAAGATTTTGGGCGTAAACCTAAAATATTGCAAGGTTTTCTTTTTGGTTTTTCTTCAACGGACACGGAACATTACCGAGTGTCGAGCCAATGGTGCGGGATTCTAGATAGAAGTTGCTCATATGGCCCGGGAAACGCGCAATTGCGGCGATGATGTCGTGATTCACAGATGACCCCACCCGCATCGCTTGAACCACCCAACGCTCTACGGCACTCATACTAGAAACAGTGCACTATGTGTTTGGATAGAATATAGCATGGGGAACAATGCATGTTAAGTTACCTACTCGAAACACACAAGTTGCCAATCAAGGTACTCATCGACATATTAGATTTCACTTGCACGCCTGTTAGAACCAAGCATTCTATCACTTTGCAGAAATACCCCCCTTCGAGCTTAGCCTGAATCTTATATCTCCACTTTGTCCATATAACCTTCCCTGCTAGGTTGCGTGGGCCGTGGCTTCTATTATTATTATGCGATTATCCACCTGGACTGTGCCGCCAGTTAAGCGTGCGGTTTATAAAACCCTGCCTCTTCCTGTCTTTGCATTCGTCTTTCATCCACGGAGCTTGAGAGACCGAGTAAAATCGACAGAATGGCCTCGCAAAAAGACTTTGAAGTAATGGTATCGCCTCCTGTTTCATCAACTACTTCATCAGAACGGGATGAGAACTACGAGTTTTATAAACAGCATCAAGGCCTTGAATACACAGCAGAGGAAGCCAAAAGAGTTCTGCGCAAAATTGATATACGCCTTATTCCCATACTGTTCTTAATCTACATGCTGCAGGTGAGAATATTGTGTGCCTCGCTCATTGAAATTCGAGGACTAATCCTATACAGTATCTGGACAAGAACAGCATCAACTTTGCCTCTGTCTATGGCTTAAAACAAGGTACACACTTAAAGGGACAACAATATTCATGGCTCAGTAAGCTTCCAATTGCGAGAACTTATAATGCAAGTCACTAATCCCATCAGGCTCCATTTTCTACTTCGGATATCTCATTGCACAATGGCCTGCAGGGTTAGCATTGCAAAAGCTGCCCGTCGGTAAATTCCTTGCCGTTACCACATTAGGTAAGAGATGACCCATGGAAACTCAGAATGTGGGTTCAATACTGGAACCGTGCTAAGAGGAATAGTATGGGGTGGTTTGCTCATGACGACACCTGCATGCTATAACTTTGCTGGAATCGCAATCAACCGCTTCCTTTTAGGAATGGTCGAAGCAGTTGTAACTCCTGGATTTGTTCTTATGACTGGCATGTGGTACACATCTGAAGAACAACCCCTGCGACTAGAGGCATGGTACTGCACCAATGGTATCGCGACAATGTTCGGAGGGTAAGTGACGAGCAACTACCCAGATTATATTGAAGATAAAATTCGAAACTAATCAAATATAGTCTTATTGGCTATGCGGTCGGACATATCACCACTGGACTTCCACGATGGATGTACGTCTTCCTTATTTTTGGAGCTTTCTCCATCGCGGTAGGAGTTCTTGCCCTGGTCTTTCTCCCTGACCTTCCGTCAACTGCCAAATTCCTCAGCGAGCGTGAGCGAGCGATAGCTGTTGAGCGTGTCGCTATCAACCGACAAGGTGTCAAGAGCAGTCAGTTCAAATGGTATCAGGTTCGACAAGCGGCCGAAGACCCGAAGACCTGGCTTTTGTTCGTCATGGCTATTGGTGCGCAAGTCCCGAACTCAGCATTAACGAGTGTATGTCTTCCGTTAATTACCAGTTGGATGTGAGCAAAACTAATAACCAAAACAGTTTACTTCCATCATCGTCGGCACTTTCGGATTTGATACGCTTGGAACTCAATATCTACAAATCCCCGGCGGTGCTGTTCAGTTTATCACTCTTCTTCTGGGAGGTTATATCGCAACAAAGTTCGACGGTAAATTTCATTCACGGTTTGCATGCATGATCTTTGCTTGCACGGTCTGTATTATTGGATCGGGTCTTCTTGTCGGACTACCGGACACCAACAAATGGGGCCGCCTTGTCGCACTCTGGCTATGCTATTTCCAAGGTTTGGGATTCAGCATGAGTCTGACAATCGTTAGCTCTAACATTGCTGGATACACTAAGAAGCAAGTCACCGGTGCCCTGTTGTTCACTGGATACTGCGTGGGAAATATCATTGGACCTCAAACTTTCAAGTCCAGCGAGGCCCCTGGGTACAAAAGTGCCTACATTGCGTATGCTGCCGTTCGTCTTTATATAAAGCTTTCAATTGACTGACAATTTCTACAGGATGCTCGCTGGCTATGCAGTAAAGCTGGCCTGCATTGTCGCTTTATACATCTACATGTACCTCGAGAACAAGCGTCGAGACCGCGAAGCAATCGATGGCCAGGAGGTTGAGGCAGAAGGTGTTGAAAATGGCATGCTGGTGAGTTTTGAGTTCCATGGAGCCTTGAGATAAGCTAACTCATATTCACCAAGGATAAAACGGAGATCGACAACAAAGGGTTTAGATACGTTCTGTAAAAAAGACTACGTTTGGCTTCAAAAGTTTTATTGCTCGCTTCAACGTTATTAATCGTCAAAATAGTCGAAATTAGATAGAAATTTCACCCCTTTCGGCATTCTAACGATGGTTCTGGCCTTTGTCTTTGTGGTCAGCAGTGGAAACCAAATCCCATCCATGGAGACATCTAAATTGTCCTACGTTAGGTGGTTACTAGCACTGGGCTGGAGGTTTCAGTATATAGTATAAGATGACTACCAATGCATCTTTTGATCCAGGATTTTCATTCTTCCGGGGCTATCTGCTTAGGTTTATCTAATGCCTTAAAGCCCTCTTCATATATAATAATATTGACTTAGAACATAAATAACTGAACACCTCACTAATAGTTGAAGTATTCGCTATATATAGTCCACGGCCATTTAATTGCAACGCCGTGCTCTAGCTAGACTTGGTGTACCCAAGAATATGTTTGCCAACATACGGTGGCTATAGATCGGATGGCACACGTTAGATTAATGTTTGTCTGGAGGCAAGAACGTCCTCGATGCCCTTCCTATTTGGGGGTTTACTTCGATATAAAAGGCGTCCTCAGCAATTGTCTCTATTTACTTCTTCCATCAAACCCTTCACCATTTCATCAAAGATCTATCCTCATCTACCATCTCATTAAGGATTTATCTTCATCTATCATCCCACGTATCTCATCCTTATTTTGATTCGTCGGTTACCCCAGTCAGATGGGAGAGACTATTATGGTACTTGGCCCCTTTTTTAATTGGTCTATTCGTTCAAAGAACCAGTTACTAACAATGACTTACACTATATAGACTGATCAATACGCACACCCCCTTGTGTGCCAAAATTTCGACTGGTGGGAGGATGTGGAAAACGAAATCGCTATGCAGATTAAAGCTGTTTCTCCCAGCCCCAGCACAGCCCCTAAACTAGTATTTATCCCCACTTCTATCTCATACACCTACTTAAGACTTTATATACTTACAGTTGCTGCACTATTAAGGAGAATGAATATGCGTGTCTTCTTGTGCGCCAGCAGTTTGACTGGCGGGAGGACGTCGAGAACAACACTGTCATGAAGACTAAATTCATCCCTTCAACCTCCTCAGTCCCTATCACGACCCCCAAAATGGTATTTATCCCCGCTTTTATCTCACGTGCCTATATAAGACATTATATACTGACGATTGTCTCACTATTTAGGACGATAAATACGCTCGCCTTCCTGCTCGTGAACACTTCAACTGGTGGGAGGAAGTCGAGAATGGCATTACCAAGAATACGAAAGTACTCGCTGTCGACACTAACATCCCCCTTACGGACACTGAGCACCTGGCTACAGCTTGCACTGGCCCTGCCTCTGCCAGCGCTTCCAGTAACCTGGTATCTATCCCCACTTCCATATTGCATAGTTGACTCAAACCCTTTTGAAACTAAAAATACCTACACTATATAGGATGACAAGTATGCCCAACCTTCTGTTCGCGAATATCGCGACCCGCTAGATGATGTTGAGAATGACGCTGCCATGAAGACCAAATCCTTTGCTATGGACACGGAAACTCACATTACGGACACCGGGCACATGGATACATCTTCCACCGAACCTACTACCACAAACAAACTGGTATCTATCTCCACTTCCTGCTCGCCTATCTCTTTTGAATTAGATAACAACGGTGTATACACTGTAGGACGATGAGGATGCCCGGTCTCCTGTTTGCTACGACTGCTCGAAAGATGTTGAGAATAATATCACCGTGGACACCGAAGACCTGGCAGTCATTTCCACCAGACCTACCACCGCTGGCAACCTGGTATCTATCTTTACCCTCACCTCACGTATCTGTGTTAGACCTCAGAGACTAATAATGGGTCCACTATAGAATGACAACTCTGCCCAACTTCTAAGTGAACATGACAACTGGCCGTATGATACCACAAACGACATCGCCATAGATAACGAAGACCTGGCTGTCCAAAACGAGCTTCTCTCCACAATGAACTCCCCTACTAGCGAACATGAGAACTGGCCAGAGGATACTGAGAGTGATATTTTCATGGGTACCGAAGATCTCGCTGCCAACAGCGAGCTTCATGCTACAGCCAACGACCCTGTCACAGCCGTTGAATTGGTATTTATTCCCACTACTAGATCCCCTACCTCTTTGAGACCTTATAGCTGATTGCGATTAGACTATACAGGGAGATACATATGCTCAAATCTCACACCCGGAGACATCCAATTTGGCCCACGATATTGAGATTACCCTCGCCATAGACCATCGCCTTGAGATAAACACCGTTACCACGGTTTCCAATGAGTTCATCGACGAGTATGAGTATCGGGCCTTGATTGGTAGGGGGGATCCCGTCATCCATCATTGGAACTGGTTTGGATGGCCGGTATATGGACCAACCACAACCTCGCCGGTGGTTTCCTTGGCATTTATGCAGGCTGAGCCAAAGGTACCACAGGGAAGGGATCGGCTCCGTGTGGTTTCCATTATGAACCGCGCTATTCATCAAATTGATCCTGTCATTTTGAGAGTCAACAGGGGAAACGAAGCAGTTCTGCAAATGCATGGGTCTGCACTGATTGAGGCGTGCAATGACCATACCTACAATCACTATTCCCTCCACGGGAACTGGATGAATGATGATTTCGCGATGCGGCGAATGATCGTTCCAGATGTTTCAGGGAAACCATTACTACATGCAATCAGCGATGGACAATTTGCAATTGGAAATGGTATTTTTGAAAATGGACCCCTTCTTTCTCGAAATGAGTGGATGGATTGGCAAGACCAACTGGTTGCTGCCACTAAGGAGCCCAGTCGATCCCCTCGGAAAATGACCTGGAAGCCATTGCCTTCAAATCTCAAGGTCATGTCTATGGCATACGAGCAGCTTCCCCTGATCCAGATTCTCACTTACTCCTTTGTGCCACTTGAGATCCTAAGCAACGTGATCCAAAAGGCTGGGGTCGTCCCAAAGAAAATGGTTCCCACATCCATTTCTTCCCCAATTGGAATTATGGAAACCGTGACCAGGAAGGCTTGGTCTGGCCGCAAGAGTATTCCTGATACACACTTGGCTATCCGACCTGGGATCATGGGCGATCTCATCAAGAAGGCTTGGGCTACTGCATGTGATTCCCTTCGCAAATCCTTTGTTTTCCCCCTTGTAATCATCGGCGCAATCTTGAAGAAGTCTTGGCCTATGATAAAAGCCGTTTTCAATGCCCACAAGGTTTTATTCGAGATTCTTTCAATGTTGTCAAACTAAAGTAACTTTTATTTTGATTGAGTTTCAGTTTATTCTAACAATATGATCACTTTAGGACTATTGTCTTTTTTACGGTCGATTTACTTTTTCGATTTCTTTCATAGGATTGGACTTATCTTTGGGGGATAGATACTTGGGCATTTAACTTTTGTTCAAAATTGATTGTCACTCACAGTTGACCTTTTGGTGAGACCATTCTCAGACTCAGTTCATTACACTTTAACGTTTCTTTGCCTCTTGAAAAAGAGATAAAAAAGAAATGATTGTTCATATTTCAATCTTTGCTTCTCCCTGTAGGTTTGTGATGTACATTGTTTATACTCCAACAAAGATATAGGATACCATATGATACATTAGACCCATAGTTTCATCTCTGAGCCAAACGTGCCCCAGATACAGACACGGATCTATTCGAAGGTTCAGTAGAATAATTTTTAAGACCAATTAAGAGACGTCTGACCCGTCTACTAAACGTCGTTCGTAGATCAGCCAATCTACCGTTCTATCACCATACATTTAGCCGTCGTAGCCCACCATTATGAGATCGTCGATTCCCTTCTAGTCGATCTTAGGCTCAGGCACTGAGAAAGCTGCTAGGCAGGAAGACGGAATGACGGTTGCGCTCCCAGCTATTCTCTCTCCGCCATGATGCAGCCCACAGCCAGTCCTAACCGTCATCGGGACGACTCCCTAGCCACGCCCCATCCCCCTCGGCACGGACTAACAGCATTGCCACTATAGCCGGAATATTGAACCAAATAATCAAATCTTCTGCCGTATTCTTGAAGTCAGCGGCCAAGAATCTTGTGGCCAAAATCAACTAAAAAGAGCGGCTACAAGTCGCTACAAGCCATAGGCCTATGAACACCCACTTCAATACACTTAAGGCCCATCTTCGGGGGATGCACCGTATAATCATGGCACGGGGGTTGGTGTCAGGTTTTCCGGGGCCAATACCTCCAACTTTCTTCATACCAGTCTTCGGTATTTCGTTGTTTTCATGGGGCTCTTATAAATTGATTCTACGCCTGTGCAATGGGAGTGGGTCTATAATATATGCACCATAATGAGGATGTTACAATGTCATACCGTGATATCACCGCTGAAATACGGCTTTGTGGCCTAAGGCAACCATCGTCAGGACCTAGATATATAGACCGCTAGATCTCTCCCTCTTTCTCCATATTTCCCCTCTCTACGTTTCCGTAAACGCTCCCCCCTTTATAAACATACATTACTTTCTCTTAGCAGATTTTTTATTACATTATACTTTCATATACAACGCCATACCCAGCAGATAAAGACCGTTAGAATATATTAACACACGAACCTCAACGACTGCTTTCCTTTAGAAATCAACTTGGCTATCAATTTTCACGGCTTTTAACTGCCAGGATAGTATGTCTTCCTAAATTAGCATATATTTTTTTTAAAGAAGCTAGAAGACTAATCGTGGCTAATGTTTTGAGATGGTCTATACACACCTTTGATGTCATAAACCGGGTGCTGGCGTGATGTTGTCCCGTTCGGGAAGGTTGTGCACAGGTGAAACCTTATAAACGAATTGAGAACATAGACTGCACGTCTGTAGGCTATGGGCTTTCACACAGAGCCCTATACATCCCCTACCACTAGGGCAAGCGCTCAATGAGTGCTATTCCATCGAGTCCTACAGCCAGTCAAGGTACTGGACTCGGTTACTTTCCCATATCTCTTTGGGCCTTTGGGGCCGGTCTAGGTACTGGAACCATTTCAAACTCCTCAGTCAAGGTACCAGAACTAATCATCGTGGACATTCGCCAGTCGAACCCCCCACCCACATCACCAAATCGAACAGTTCCGCGGTGCCAGATGAGACAGATAAGTACAGCTCATTGACTGGCAAAGAAGATAATGCCACCCATCACTAGAACTGGTTTAGATGGCCGGTATATGCACCAACTGCAGCTCTACCAGCGATTTTGTTTACACTCGTGCACGCTCAACCAAAATCAATGATATTGGCAGATATTTACAATCAGTGCCTGCTTAGTGAACGTGTTCTGCCGGGTACAGACAAGGCTCAGATAAAACAAGAGGCGTTGGATAACAAGGCTAACAACACAGTGGCCAGGTGCTAGCTCTACCACGTGCTCATGTCGACGAAATGCGCCGCTATGGGGAACAAAGTGTCAAGATCTAAGTTTGTTTCAAGTTCTATTCTACCCATGAAAACTGGATAGAAGAAAGACTCAAAAACGCGAGCGAGACCTATCTCATTATCTTAAAACCGTTTTTTCAAAAAGGCGGGTTCTACCGTGTATGCAATTTGAAAATGGTGGCTCATGATTAAAGTCTGCATTGAGCCTACCGAATTGTATCAAACTATCGCTTGAGCCACAATGCTACTAGCGGCATTCCTGCTAAGCCTAGAAGGCCGCCTATCAAGTATGTATTGATATATACCCAGTTACTTACCTTATAAGACTTGAACTTTGACACCTGTACGCACTCTACCCATATACTTGATGTTAAGTGAAGTAATGGTAATTTATTGGATAGAGATGCATACATTTTAACAGTATCTCGCGGCTATCACGCGCAGATACAATGACAATTCACCACTTTAAAACTAGTACAAAGGAAAATAAAATCAAGGAATGATAGGCTTTCAAGTGTCATTGAGATATGAAAGTAGCACAAAACAAAGTTGGTAGATAGAAGAAATGTAACAGATAAATTGAGAATAACCCCATCTTTTTTGATACACATCAAATTCCAAAAATCAATGCCATCTAGGTATGCCAAACCCCCCCCCCCCAAAAAATGTAAGCTTAGTCTGCTCTCACGCAAAGAGTGCGATAACTAAAAGTGAAACTGGACGCAATCCGAAGTGAATCCAGTCTAAAGCCAATCCAATAAGATTCAAAATTACACAGAAAGCATGAGCAAAGCACAAACGATGCATCAGACAGAGAATAGACAAATGCCTAACTGAACTTACCTTTCAATGATATGAGCGCTGATACCAGTCCCTGACAAGCCTTTGCAAATGCGTACTTGATTCCCCTACGACGATTAAAAACAGGAGTTGGGAAAGAAAAATACTCTTCAGGTGGTGTCCCAACAATACAAGTCGTTATCTTGCGAGGTGGCTTCTTTGTTTCCTTGGTGGTCTCTGGCTGCGGTACATTGGGGGTTATCTCTGGTAAGATGGATTCGTATTGGCTCAAAGGTGAAGGCTTCGGCTCCCAAGTCGGCCTCCGCGGAAGCCCACCCCAAGAGTCATCACAGGCTTGGTTCCGAGACTCTGCCCACTGGGACACTGATCGAATAGCACTGGACTCCACGAAGCCATTTCCAATGGCCAAATCTGGGGCATCGTAAGTCCGCACATCGCCAAAATCGATCGTAGTTTCATCGCTCGGATCTTCCGGATCATCCATCCATCTCCCATGGGGAGAATAATACTTGAAGACACGTCCAGTGGATGCACGTACAAGCTCTGATCCCCGGAGCTCGAACAACGCATTGTCGGTGCCATCCAGAAGTACAAGAATAGGGTCTACGTAGTCTCCCGCTCGGTTCAGAAGTGATAGAATTCTCCAGGTGGCGCTTCCTTGGGGATTCTTAGGGTTCGCTAATATTATGGCAAGCGAATCACTGGGGGAAGTTGCGCTATGGGTGTAAGCTCGCACTCCCATCCAGTTGAAATGATGAATTTCCTCGTCGGCTTCCATCCAGGCTTGACGGTCAGCAAAGATGTCATTGACAGACTGCTGTGCAATCGAATAGACTTCGGATTCGGCGTTGGGTATCAATCGCTCCCGACGAAACCCGTCTTTGGGGAATGGCTCCTCGTAACACGAAGATGCACTAGTGGTCTCATTGAACTCAGTCTGGGTTTCTTCGGGTGAGCTTGAGGTGGAATCTGTAGTTCCATGAGCCCAGCCCCACAGCTCATCCCACACCTCTTCGTATAGGGTTGAACAGGATGGCTGGAATTGGGGGGTGGGAACATGGTTGGGGGTCGGGAAACATTCATCATACCAGGCAGGCTTGGGCACACGGTAATCAATAGGCTTCGACATGGCCATAGGTAGATTAGCCTTAGCTACAGTGTCTTCAACATCTTCAGCCCAGTCAAAGTTAGTCCGGCGAAGAAGGTTGTCCAAGGAAGCATTCTGGGTTGAAAAGCATTCATGTAAGCTTCTATCAGGTTTTGACACAATGTTCAGAGGAGCTATATAACAAACCTTATCAGGGGAAGACATGATGATAGGATTGTAATATTCGATAGATTTCAATGTTAAAGGTATCAAGATTGAGATGATATGTTGAATATGCGTACGTGAAGTTAAAGTTAGAAAGCAAGCAAGATTTTATCTAGGAAGAGGTGGTAAGTTACCGTGGTGTTTTTGCTGTGCTGAATATAGAAGGAACGCGCTCCTTTGCTCTTTCTGTCTAAAAAAAAGAACCACAGGAGGATTTAAGGGAATGCGCCGAGACGATGATTTCTATACACTGCTATATGGGTATACCCAACGCTATTTATCAAATGAATTGGGGGCAGTGACTGATCTTTAGAAATATTAATCGATGTCCTCCAAAGGAATATAGACAATGGCATTCATTTGATCTTTGTCCAGCTACAACGAGTCTTGTGTTATTGATCATAATGGTGCACTTAGCTCTTTGTCAAGTTGAAGACGACCATCCCATTTAGGGCATTTTCCTTCAAAGAGAAACCATCTCTTTGACCGATTCCAACGAGACAAGAAGCTTTGTCTCTCATTTCGGTCTGAATCGTGTACAAAGAATTTAATGACATGCATTCAGAGACAAACTCCATTTTGTGCATTGGCTCCGAATAATCGTGCCAAGCGCCCAATATATCCTCGCTATTTTGATGAGATCCACCAGATAGCAAATTGCAAAAATTAGGTATCGTTTGTAGGGCAATCCAATACAAAAGGTGCATAAATATAAAATGAGCATAACATCAAGTTCCTTAACTCTTAAACGAGCTAAAGGGAAAATAAAAAACTACATTATAATGTATGTCTAGTTCAATGGATATATTGCTAGAATTGATTCTGGATATATGATATAAATGCCAAAGAGGACCTTGAAAAGCATTCATGTTAAAAGTTTAACCATTCTCTTGCTCAAAGCATACTTGATAATTCTGATGACTATGTTGTGTTTTAAACGAGATAACGGTAGTAGATGAAATGGAACAACCTATGTAAGGCGCCACTCACCCGGCTAATATTCCTATATAGGGTTAATTATAATGTTCAGCACCTAATCCTATCGACATGGACGATAATGACCCTTTAGTCATCGAAACCGACTAAGTGGGTATGTATACTTTTTTTTGCCTTCTTTCCCCCTGCCCAGTTACCCAACTACTCAGCTATGTACAGCACCTAAGCAAAAGCTTGCACTTTAGGGTGCTACCTACTCGTGGACCATAATGGGTGGCTTACCGATGTTCTGCAAGAGGGGTAAAATTACTCTTATTGTCATAGTGGTTCGATTCATCAGCCGTAGAGCCAATCAACACAACCAATGGGTTGGGCGTTGGCAGGATTACTGTATCGAGATAAGGAATCGGCTTTCTCGCCGCGAGGCTGCGTTGTATGTGATTACATAACACGAGATGACGCCAGAGTCCCCGCACTCGTTCGTGATCATTCTATTTATTTTGGGTTCTCCGTTTCATTCCTCCTTGAAAAGTAGAGACTTAGACCCATGATCCATTTACGAGCTTGCATCAGATCAATTGGACACCTTCGGCGACTCTCACACCCCTCCGCATCCCCAGCTCTCTCCGCAAACTCCTCCTTCCCTCCCGCAGCCCTACGAACTTCTATCCGACGCACCATGGCTTCCGCAGTGGCAAAGCGTCTCGAAGGCAAGACTATCATCGTTACCGGTGCCTCATCTGGCATTGGAAAGAGCACTGCCAAGGAATTCGCCCGCACATCGCCCAAGAACCTGAAGTTGATCCTTACCGCGCGCCGCATCGACACATTGAAGGAGGTCGCGGCTGAGATCACACAGGAGGTTGGCGACGGTGTCCAAGTTCTTCCCGTTAAGCTGGATGTCAGCAACCCAGAGGAAGTCAGCAACTTTGTTTCCTCCCTGCCAGAGGAGTTCAGGGAGATTGATGTTCTTGTTAACAATGCGTGAGTCATACACATCAAGCTAAACTTATCAGTAACACGATTGATACTGACATCCACGGTGCAGTGGCTTGGTCAAGGGTGTCGCACAGGCACCTGAAATCGCTGCCGAGGATATCAAGGTCATGTTTGACACCAACGTCACCGGTCTCATTAACATGACCCAGGCCATCTTACCCATCTTCAAGAAGCGCTCTGAGGGCGGCCGTGGTGATATTATCAACATTGGCAGTATCGCTGGTCGCGAGCCTTACTCTGGCGGCAGCATTTACTGCGCCACCAAGGCGGCTGTCCGCTCCTTCACTGACGCGTTGAGAAAGGAGCTCATCGCCACGAGAATTCGTGTTATTGAAATCGATCCTGGTCAAGTTGAGACGGTATGGTCATTGTATATTATTATATTCGTCTTTTGTATGAAGCTAATACATGCGATTAGGAGTTCTCCGTTGTGCGATTTGGTGGAGACAAGGCCAAGGCTGATGCCGTCTACAAGTAAGTCGTGCCAAAAAGCCGGAAAAAACACAATATAATTAACCGTTCGCAGGGGCGTCGAGCCATTGACCGGTGATGACATCGCTGAGGTTGTTGTCTTTGCGGCTGGTCGTCGTGAGAATGTTGTGATCGCCGATACCCTAGTCTTCCCTAGCCACCAAGTAAGTTTTTTTTTGCGGTTAAGATTCTTGTGGACAGGTTCTAACTATTCTATAGGCTGCGGCTGGTGTCATGCACCGCAAGTCTTAACTTATACGACCGAATAGATATGAGAGGAGGTTTAGATAGCGCTCATTGTACATGTTTCAAGGTCACACACGTTGTGTGGCGTAAATACGAAGCACATATTCGACCGCCAGAAATATGGATTCAAATCAGGTCCGTAAGACCGAAATAAAGAATAAATTATCACGCTTCGTATATTGCATAGTATAAATGAGAAAAGTACATGTATATCAATGAGGCAGAGAGGCGTTTACCGAGCCACGACTATTGGCATCAACGCTCATTTCAAAAAAAGAAAATGTCCCGATAATCAGAGAACAACAAGGGCCAGTGCAGCTGCAACACCACCGGCAGCCCAGCGCGCGTTTCCAGTAATCATGGGCATAGCGGCATTACCAGACTCAGTATGGCTGGTGGCAGCAGCACTGCTGCTATCCGAGGACGCGCCAGCAGTGCTAGTACCAGTGCTAGTGCTTGTGCCAGTAGCGGTGCTGTCAGAAGTAGAAGCGGAGGTGGACAAAGTAGCAGCGCTAGTAGAGGTGGCGGTAGAAGCCGAAGCCGAGGCACCAGTGGTGGCGGAAGCGCTGTCTGTTCCAGTTGCGGTGATAGTCACGGGCATCAATGCGCCACCGGGAATTTCAGAGATAGCAACGGCCGAGTTCCAGCTGGAGGTCGTGCCATGCTCGTCGAAGGTTGCGCCGCACCTCGCGCTGGTGGCATCATACTTGCAGCTCTCAGCGATGGTGCTGTTTCGGGAAAGGATCAGCTATGACTGTGGGGGATATAATTGGATTCCTTGTAGGGCTAGAAACTCACACATCATCCATGCCGTATGACAGGCTAACGGTTGAAGAGCCTTGGGCCACGGTCATGCCAGCGGGTGGAAGGCCGCATTCGTCGGAATCAACGTCGGCAGCACACTTGATCAGATATTTGGTCATGGAGCCGCTCTGGCACAATCCACATTAGTTTTCTCTGCTAAATCAACGGAGGGGTGATTGCGCATACAGTTCCAACGACCTTGCCCTCAATTCGTTGCGCGTCGAATCCAGGCAGGAAAAGAGTGACTGTTTCGGCAGCGATGGCGGTAGTGGCACCGGCCAAGAGAGCGAAAGATTGGATACGCATGTTGTATTAAATAATTAACGAATGTAATAGTCAAACGAGCGACAGAAATCGAAATTGTGAAAAGAAGATCAGAGGATAAATTTGAGGGATAGGGCGATATCGCCTTCATATAACCTTTAAGAATTTATTTCAGGGTCATAAGCAGTAAGCAAGCTAAGCAAGCTAAGCAGGCGAGAGCAGTCTAGAGCCGTTTTGGATAATGGATGGCCTTCAAACGGAGCCTGCCTATTGGTTATTTCAGTATACCCTAGTCGATTAATAGATTCCCTCTAGCCTATTCAGGTACTAGCGTAGTCCTAGTCCCTGCGAAAGTTATACCGCTATACCTAATTGGGATATTTGAACCCCTGGCTCTAGCCAAAAGAGCCCCGGGGCCAGACGAGCCAGACGTAAGGCATCTTAGAAGAAAATGGATCTATTGAACTCCCGGTTTCAACCCAATTTAAATGCCGGATAAGGGCCTATCGGGTTTTATCGAGACTTTGACCATAGTTTAGTCTCCTTTTGTGCTCTAGGTTTCCGCAAGATTGCTCTCTTCGGAGCTCTGAAAATAGCCAGAAAACGATACTGAAATCATAAGAAACACAAGATGTGCCTAATTAGGACTTGAAACTGGGCAGTTTCAATGCTAGCAATAAGACCGAAAATTTCCACTAAGCTAAGCCCTTACTGGAGGGGGCCGCCCTCAGCCTCAACCCCCGTTTTGTCACGGGTTTGACAGATTTCTTACAGAAAGTCAATGTTGACAGGTTGATAGCCATTTTGGCATTTTAGCACTTATCCAACATTCCCTGTGCGGGGACATTTTTATCAGATAAGATATTATTTGAATTTCGCCCTTCATGCGTGATTCTTCATCTGTCTGGATATATATATGTGGTGTCGCGGGCCAAGATATTCAAACAATAAACTCAACTAATAATTTGATTCCAGGTGACCATGCTTTTTCTACCATATTCTACTATAGCCCCAATTTTGTTTTGCTATTTTATTTTACTCATATCCGAGAGTCTCTGAGTCAACGTAAATAGCCCCCTCGAAATTCATATCTGAGCAGACCGGTGCAATTCTGTAATTTGACCCCGAGCTCCGCAAACATGGCCTTTCGAAGATAGTCCATGGACCCTGAGTTGCTACATTAAAGGTGGCTTGATTGATAGCCATGTGCCCGAAAGCCCCGCTAAGCCAGCAGGGTGGTTGGCTGAGCCTAATTGCCAAGCTTCAAAGGTAGTAATGCTAAGCGATTAGTTAATGTCCTTTTCTTCACGAGCCAACCATGCGTATCTCAACTAAGGTGCATAAGGTATTCGAGACAGGGTATCATGGTGGCTGATGCCGCAGGTGATCATTTTCCACCAAAGGTTCCAAGTTATCTCTCCCGAAGGATTCCCACGCTGCAACCTAATTCGAGTACAGTCGTTCACAATAACGGCTACACGAACGTAGCTCCTATATAGGCTCAGTTTTATGCATTCAACCCCCTTGGCAAGGCATATTTCTACCTTGGCATAAACTACAAAGAAAAGCTCCGACTCCTTCGATTCACTATAAAGGAGCGCCATATCCACAAAGGTCCACTAACACAACATCTAAGAAAGCGAAAAAGACCACAACTACCTGATATAGGAACTAATTTTCACGTCAATTAAGTGTCTTCCTACCAGCGCAATGACAGGAAAGATCGATGTCAACAATAAGGTCTATAAACTGGCCGCGATGCCCTTCATTTTAGAACGCAAGGGTGAATACGATGAAGCCATCACCGTCTACAAGAAAGCCATAACTGTTTTGGACGAAGCAACCAAATTATACAAGAAAGGAAATGTCCTCAAAATCAACAGAAAAATGTTTGAGAGACAGGTTCAAGTCCATCGAGAACGCCTAGCCTATCTCGAAGACCTAAAGAGCAAGGGCAGTTTTGACGGTATAATATTGCCTCCGACGATTTTGGATGCGATGGAGGAGATGGAAAATGAGGACGGAAAGACCTGGTCATTGACCCAGGTAAGCCACACACTCCCGGACATGGTGCGACTCCTCCAGGCCACTGATTCTTGCCAACTGCCAGATTCGCAAGGATATTAATACATTCCGCGGGGATGGTCCCAGTCAATCTACAAAGGATATCAGCGCAGCTCCAGCCCACATCCAACCATTCCTCAATGCCGATACCTCACAACGCCCTTTCTTCTCGCTGACCCTGTCTCCCGACGCGCCCACGGTCACTTATCGCATTACACATTCCTCGGAGCTTGTCAATCTGGGCATGCGCTCATATTGGTTTTTCGTCAAAGACGCGACCAACACACACGTCTTGTACGCCCTGCAGTTCGTCTGGAGCAACGAAGCACCCATCGTCGAGACGGTCCTCCGACGTGCCGGGGAATTCTTACCCCAAATTGGAGCGACGAGTGTGAGACTGCAGAAGACCAAAGGTGGTACTTTCAGGATGATAACACGGACAATCCCCGACATGGGCGCAATAACCGAGATTCCGGATGGAGAGATGCAGCGAAAGGATTGGTCGCCGCGACGGTTTGAGTATGGAGGGCGCAATTTCGTCTGGAAGAGTGCGGCAGCAGAGGGTAAGAAGGAGGGTGGAATGTTTGGGAGCTTTGGCATCGCTTGGGAAACTTTGTACGAAACTAAGCGTGTGTGGGCTAAAAGTGGAAGTAGGACTGGGAAGATGGAAGATGAAATTGTTGGTCCCAGGCTGTGCTGGGGAGAGAAGAAGGGCGGAAATGGTGCTGACCACAGTATTCACATGGTAGGTGGCTTGGACCTGTATTTCAGAGAGCATTTGCTCGCGGTCCAGTTGTCGAGGTTGGCTCGTGCCAGCTATCCCCCGCAAAAGGATACCAAGGGAATCGAAGCAGCATCAGCCGGTCTGGGTTGGCTTTCGATTGCTTCGGATTTGGCATAAAATCCTGGCGAAGGGCCTCGGATTCCTTTTTCGCTGTATATTTTTCTTCTTATGATACCGAGTTCTGCTTTTTAGTCGCAATGAAGAAACGAGTTAATATCATTTCGATGGGCCATCATCTGACTGTTGTCGACAGACTTTACGAGATCAACCATCCGGTGGTTGTTGAAGTTGCTCCAAGAAGTCTTTATCCAAATTTCCAGCGTAGAAGCCTAGATTTTGAGCGAAAAGGGGTTGTTGCCTACAAAAGGTCAGTAGGCAGAGGATATTTGAGAAAGAGACAACATACCTGTTCGTTGGAATGGAGGTGACCATTTCCTCGAACAGAGTATCGAATCCCTCGTTGTCTGCAAGTGTAACCCCAGCCGGTGATTGAAAAGTGGAAATAACACAAGAGTCAGGAATAGCATTCGCTGTAGCAATGGTGGAGTTTTCCGGTCGCGTTTCTAACATTTCCAAATCTGATGGCTGGACGAACCCATTGCAAGCAGGGTCCATTCCAGGATCCTCGACTCTTGCAGGTCGTATGCCATCTGACCTCTGGAGACTTTTCATCCCAGCCTCCAAATTCTGCAGGTACGGGCAAAGTCGGGTTTCGAGAGCCCGTTTCCCCTCGGAGTTAGGGTCGGAGTGGACTATATCAGAGCACTGCTGGCACCGAAGAGCAAAACAAGACAATAATGGTGACATTTGTAACGGTCCGGCTGTCTCCAGATATCGATCCAACAGACTAACACTAGATTGCACGAGGTTGACAACTAACTCCTTTCCGGTAATGTCAAGCGTTGGGATTCTTTTTAAGAAATCCAGCATCACAAAGGAACACGTGAGATGCAAAGTGAGTAATGGAGGAGTGATGTACTCTGGGCTTTTGCTATATGGGTACTTCTCAACAATCCTTTTCTGTTGGGCTTGCAGATTGGCTAGAAGCTCGCGCTGATCTGGGGGCGGCATATTGGTCAACATATACAATATTCGAGCCAGGTGCTTCATGAGCTGGCTGATATTATTAAAGATGCTCAATGCTCGCAGGGGTCCTTTTGGTGTGTTTCGGTATCCGCCTTCTGATGCTCGTAGAGATACCGACCATACATCCCATTCTTCTATGCTGTCTTCGTTGATCGGCTCTCCTTCCTGTTGCTCTTCCAATGACATGCAGGGTGCTTTGTGCAAAACTGCGGACAGAATGTTGTCAAGGAAAATACATCCATGGAAGGTGTTATGATATCGGCTGTTCTTAGAAGCTGTTGGCAACGTCGCCAGCATTCTGGAAGCCTGACCGGCAAGCCTCCACGATGTTTTGATGTCCCCTAGCTTAAGCTGTAGTAAAGCAAGGATAATAACAGCTTGGATGTGTCCTAGTTCCAGGTTCTTAGATTTTTGTGTCATGACTCGTGCGTAGATTGATTGTTGTATTTTCAAATGGCTTGGCTGTTGCCTTTGGTCTCCACCATCTTTTGTGGAAGATTCGTAAGCCACGACTGCCCAAAGAACTAAACTTGAACCATCACTTAGGCTGGCTTCAGGTTCAATACTTGTATGCATCGTCCGAAATAGATCATGGCGCTCTAGAATCGGGAACCAGCAGTGTGTATAGGTGAAATAATTTTCCAGCATGCTGAGTGTATCCACTGGGAACGGTAGATAAACGCAATCGATTTGAATCGTTCCAATATTTGGAATTCCTTGGTGCAGGGAGGGTTCATTCAGGCCAAAGGTTGCATGCTCAGTGCCAGCAGTAATGACGCTTGGTGTGTTGATCATCTCTAGGGTATCCCATTCTGATTCATCAGGACCGGTTATTGTTGAGACTTCTTGAGGATCATGATCAATCAATTTGGACAAATCTTTGGCCAGTCGAGACTGTCGCCAGACTGTTGCAGGATCTTTGGCAAGGAAGTGGTTATTATTTTGCGACTTGATCAAAAGATCATGCACTGTTCTCTCGCTATTTGGGACATGTTGCAAAACAAGCCCAAGGACTGTCTCCAAGCTTCGGACATATCCAGGGGGCAAGCCTCGTCGTCCACCGCCATTTTGATAACTGCAAGTACGATTTGCCGTGCGGCAGATGGAGCAAGCAGGTTGTTCCCCGTCACACTTGGACTTTCGCCGACGACATTGATCACATGCCCGGCAGATTCGTTGTCGCTTCGAAGGTCGAGTGTTAGGCATATGTGCTCGAGGATAAAATAAAACCCATCGGTTTTCGATTGTTCATGGTCATCTAAACTGATGTCGTCCGTGGTATCACGTGATCGGTATTGAATTTAACCGAAGCCGAACGACGGCGACATCATCCTCATCTTTGGATGAACAAATGGTTTCTTGAGAAGAAAGGAAACGCACCAAGGCTGAGTCCTTTTGAGATATACATGCTGGCAGGCAATATGTCAGAATCCCATCCGCCATCTCCCTCAAGTACACCTTGTCCAGATCACGAAGGTCCTGGCTGCCGACGATACAACGCCGATGCTACCATCTTGCTAGTTGGTTCTTTTGGAGCCGGCAAGAAAACCCTAGGTCTTATTGCCTCCGTTGCTCTCCGTCGACGGTTTATTGACTTCGATGAATTCTTTCGGGGCCAAATCCAGTATTCACCTCAAGAGTTTATTGCAAACCATGGATTCAAACGATATCGCGAGGTAGTGATAAAAGTGTCGCAAGATGTTCTCACAAAATACCAAACTGGTTGTGTCATATCTGGTCTTGGATTCGCAGCCAGTTCAGCTCAGCGGCAATTATTGGTGGCCTTTGCACAACACCATCCCATAGTGTATGTGCGCAGAAGCAAGGCAGATCTTCAACATTTTGTCGGAATCAACCCGGATACATTTGACCATATCTATGAATTAGAGAATCTCTTCTTCGAATCGTGTTCCAACTTTGACTTTTTCAACATCACGCAAGAGCCGAGTCACGAAGTCGAAAGTCAGATTCACGCATCACTCAAACTGAAGGAGCTTGAACGAATCTTTGTTGCCTTTCTACATCGCATATTTGGCAATCCACATAAGCAGATTGCCTCGGCTGATCCTTTTTCTGCGACTCATACATACGCCCTTGGGTTGTCCTTGAGCCAGCTTGAGACGGATCTAGACGCCGAAATTTTGGATGCAGGCGCTGATGCTATTTATCTCACATTGAATCATGAGGAATTCAGCCGTGAGGATATATTGATCAAACTGTCACGCTGTATGACGATTCTCAGGAAGAACACGCGTGTGCCAATAATTCTCGATGCACAAACAGATCCAGTGAATGACTCGAGCTACTTGAAATTCTTGGAAGCAGTAGCACTACGGGTAGCTCCTGATGCATTCACTTGTGTGCTCCGAAATAAGGACAGTATTCGGCGAATTTATGCCACGAAAGGCCATTCGAAAATGATTGCCGTACACCACCAAATGGGACCGCTAGGATTTGGAATGGCACCCTCTGAAATCCCGCGTATTCGTATGTGGTTCGAAGACTTTGGTTTCGAAGCTCTCCGCATTACCGGTCAACATGCGGTTCCAGAAGATGCACTCGCATGCGTTTCTTTTCGCGGAATGTTGACTAATGCCCTCAATATTCCAGTTATTGCATACAATACCGACCCTGAGGAGCGAGCTTCCATACTCCTGAACCCGACTTTATCTCCCATACGGGTTAGTCCTGGTCAAAACTCTATATCCTCTCTGCGAGACATGCAACATGCGCTAAGCTCTTTGTCTCTACATCCTAATAAGTTGTTTAAAATCGTGGGTCAAGATCTTCGCCATAGTCTGTCACCAGAAATGCACAATGCAGCCTACGCGGCCTGTGGTCTCCCGCATACGTATGAATACGATGAGATCCAAGGCTTCGACGAGATCGAAGCCATATTAAAAGCCCCATCCTTTGGTGGCTTTCTTGGTGGTTTGATCATTTCCCTGCCATTCAAAAATGATGTTTTACCCTTGCTCGACGACATCAGTCCCGACGCCAAAGACATCAACGCAGTAAATACTGTGGTATTGGAACACAAGGTCCAGCCGAACGGAGTGAGAACTCCCCTTTACCGTGGATACAACACAGACTACATCGGAATCAAAGATTGCGTCCACAGTCACCTGTCTCCAGCAAATGCCATTCGAGGTGGCAGTACGGCTCTGATCATAGGTGCTGGTGGAATGGCCCATGCTGCTGTGTACGCATGCTATCAATTAGGGGTTCGGCAGATATTCGTTTACAACAGAACTCTTTCGAACGCACAAAAGCTGGCCCGTTACTACAATGTATGGGCGAAATCCAAGGGCGACAAGATCTTCCATTTAGATGTCCTTGAGTCAATAGAGGACCCCTGGCCATCGGATTTTCGTCTTCCAACAATCGTGATTTCATGCATTCCTGGAAGGCATGTTGGCACTCAGTCGCCGGTCGTCTTCCAAGTTTCTGATACATGGCTCGAAAGTCCAACGGGAGGAGTGTTCGTTGAGGTAAGCTGTAATTGCCTCTCCCTAATCACATCAGTCAACTGACACTGTTATTAGGTTAGTTACGGTCCATGGAAGACCTCGTTGATGGAGCAGATGACTCCGTGGTCAATGAAAGGTTGGGTAATCGTTGATGGATTGAAGGTGCTTGTCAAACAGGGCATTACTCAATACGAGCTCTTTACCCAGAGACCAGCTCCAGTGCACGTCATGCGACGAGCCGTTCAAGAGGAGGCCATCAAAAAAGGGTATTTCCATATGTGGTAATTTGCCACTGATTGTCGGAGACTTGGTCAATTCGCTGGTCGACTTGACACCCAATCATAATTACATAAAGTTTTACCATAACACGGAGAAATATCTCATTAGATTAAATCGTAGAATATTCCTCCATGTTTACGGTTAAGATCTGAAGCGACAAGGACAAGACCTTAACCCACCCCACAACTGGGCGAGTGGATACATCTAGTTACATCGCCTCCGACTGTCTCAAGACATTGATTGTTCACGGCAATATCTCATCAACTCCAAGTCATTGGCAAGTTCAGATTCTCATACATACACCATGACCTACCAACCTGCTATTATGAGCGTCTCCTTGGGACGAGCTTGGCTCCATGATTTTGACTACAAGATGTGTCAAGCTTCAAAAGCAGGTTTCAAAGGAATAGAAATATTCTACGAAGACCTTGATTATTTCGCACGAGAGATTTCCAAAAATAACACACCGACGTCCGATCAACTGCTCCAAGCAGCAGATAATATTCAGTCAATCTGCCAAGCCCACACCCTTAATATCATCTCGCTGCAGCCGTTCCTCTTCTACGAGGGGCTCAAAGACCGCGAGCAGCATGCAAAGCTTATTGAAAAGATGAGACTTTGGCTCCTGCTTGCTAAGCGCTTAAAGACCAACACCATTCAAATCCCCGCGAATTTCCTCCCCGCAGACCAACTCACCGACGACATTGATGTTCTAGTTGCCGACCTGAGGCAACTGGCGGATATGGGTGCAACGGAAACTCCCCCTGTACGCTATGCGTATGAAAACCTCTGCTGGAGTACGATTAATGACACCTGGGAGAAAGTCTGGGATATCGTCAAGCGAGTTGATCGACCTAATTACGGCATCTGTCTTGACACCTTCAACATCGCGGGAAGGGTGTGGGCTGACCCCGCCTCACCGACTGGCAAGACAGTCAACGCGGATTCTGATTTGAAGGGGTCGCTTCAGCGGATGATGGTTGAGATTGATGTCGCAAAGGTCTTTTATCTTCAGGTTGTGGATGCAGAAAGGATGGAATCACCACTTGTTCCTGGTCATCCTTTCCACGTGGAAGGCCAGCCGGCGCGAATGAGCTGGTCGCGAAATGCGAGAGCTTACATGTATGAGGAGGACCGCGGAGTATACCTGCCAGTGGAGGATATTGCAAAAACCATTATATCGGGATTGGGATACAAAGGATGGGTCTCGATGGAGTTGTTTTCCAGAACGATGGCTGAAGAGGGTCAAAATGTACCCGATCAGCATGCGCAGAGGGGTATCGCATCTTGGAAGAAGCTACAGCAGAAGCTTGGGCTCCATTAATTTCCGTAATATTTGAAGAAAGCAAGGTTGCGCCCACAACATCAATGTTATTGATGGGATATATTCCCCTACATTCCTCACTCCTATACTTCTATCCCTTTTCCATCCAACCACTCTTTGGCAAGTCGATACAACAAATCATGTTTCTCCCCACAAATAGTTTCAGCATGTCGACGATGACCAGGCATATCCCTTAGCACTGTTACTCCCATGGTAAGCTCTTGGCAATATGCCAGACACTTATACCCCTCGGGATACGAGTTGAGCTTCTGCGCGTCAATATTGGGGAACTGATTCGGGATCACGGGCAGCAGCTTGTCCTTCTCGTACCAATGTCGCACGAACCGCGCACCCCAGCGGCCATCGACTTTTTCGAAGAAGAAACAAAAACGGCAGTCTGCCTCCGCATCCACTTCTATTCCGTCGATTGTGAATCGTTGCGTGATAGTGGCCTTCATCTTGGTAACGGCGCGACTGGCATCGGGGGTAATGTCGGTCGTTACGCCATGGCATCGGTGCATGATGAATGCTCCCTTGTCCATCCCCGCTTTGGAAGCTGCCATAAAGTCCAGGTACGAAACTCGGCCGGACCATGTGGTGTAGACATAGGCTCCTGGATGGAAGATTGACTCGAAATTCTCCCATTCACAAGCATCACTGGAGTTTTTAATCAGCTTAAAATCAGAAGTATATTCTTGTTGGTTGTCCTTACCGGTAGCAAGGCCATCCCTCGGCTAGCTCGCGGAGTTTCGCGCGCTCAAGAACCAGGTTGTCTGGCCCATTGTTGCGAAAGGCATGTTCGGGCCATGTCCCCTTGGGCAAGGAATGTAAGTTAGGCATGGTAAAATTGAGCTGGTGTTGATTGCTAGTTCAAAAGATTGCAACATACAAGTATACCCTTTTTGCGGGGTGCGTCAGGGCGGGTAATCATTTTGACGGTTGAATTCATTGCCGATCAAACTCCGATTATATACTTCTCAGAATTGGATGGACAAAATGTCTAGACAAAGTCAACTATTTTGATTTGGTAATCTTTTGTATAGAGAAAAACGGACGTAGCATTCATGTCGCATTCTATTTTCAGTAACTAGAAGTTGATTCCTTTGCTCTCTTCGGCTGCCTTGAGCAAGACATCCCATGCACCTTCCCGGTCCAGTTTCAGGATATATTCCTCCCCAGCCCACAAACGCCACTGCTCCTCAATTTGATACCCGATAACATGCGTCCCCTCCACACAAGGCCATTCCAGTTTCTCCCCCAGCTTGATCATCCTTGTTCTTCGTGGTTTGAAACACATGTCCAACAGAACACCCTTCTCCGGCCGCGACAGGAACGACTCGAGAATATTAGCTACTGTGAGCTCCGTCTCAGTCTGTGGCTCACAATCCGGCACTGTTCCAACAATGTAGTATGGGCTGGGTAGCTTCTTTGCCTGCTCGAGTGCTTTCACGTGGATGATCGTCGGGACCCGGGTCATCTTTTGCGTGTCGTGAATAAGATTGGCAACTTCCTGGTCGTCGCGATTTAAGACATAGATCGTTGGGCAATGCAAATGTATTGAAAGGGCATAGACAGCTGCACGGCTCGCACCTCCAGCTCCCACAATCAAGGCCGTGGCAAGTGAAGTCACCGATGGCCTCTCGTTCTCATTGCCTTTTTCTAAAAGACAACCCTTGATCCCACGCCAGTCTGTGTTGGTGCCACACATGAGCCGTGGGGTACCACTCTTGTAATAGACATTATTGCAGGCTCCGATCATGGTAGACAGTTCATCCAACTCGTCAACATGTTTCATGATCGAGTTCTTGTATGGCATGGTCACTACCAAGCCGGCTGCGGTCGGTGCCCTTGCAAGCTTGAGCAGGTCATCGATCGTGGGGCATTCAGTTGAGTGGAATGTCCATGGGAGACCGAGGGATTTCGCAATATAGTTGTGCATGCTATAGGCGATAGAGTGGGTGACACCCATTCCCACTAGGTGGAGGGTCATTTCATGGGATTGTGACTGCATCATTGTTGGCCAAGAGAAGATCAGACCTGAGAAAGACACAAATAATATTCTTTTGCGGTAATAACTAAAAAACCTAGGTTTCTACATTCGAACAGTGACATTTATGCGGATGTACGCTACCCGTGTTGCCGGCAATGGGCTCCACAGTCGATTAAATTCATAGCCGACGCGATGTATAGTTCGACATCTACGAATGTGAAAGGGTTTATAACACAGGGTGTAAATCAGCTTAATTATCTATATCAAGTACTTCAGGCTATCATGGCAAAGAATTTCCACATCTTCGGCAAAGGGATATCGTTCAGCGTTTCACACACCATCCACAACGCAGGCTTCCAGCACTATGGCCTCCCCTTTATATACACAATTCACGAGTCCGACAGCATTGATGGAGCCGCTGCATTGGTTGCAAGCGATCATTTTGGCGGGGCGAGTGTCACAATGCCACACAAGCTCCAAGTTCACAAGTTTTGCAACGAGCAAACCGAGACTGCTCGATTAATCGGCGCAATCAACACTCTTATTGTGAAAGAAAATGGGAACAAGCGTATAATCACCGGAGACAACACGGACTGGTCTGGCCTGTGCAGTATTGTGACTGCATACTCGACAAAAAGACAACACCAACTGAACACCGGACTGGTTATTGGAGCCGGGGGCGCATCAAGAGCCGCACTTTATGCTCTGCACAAATCTGGAGTGAAACGAATCTACCTGGTCAATCGAACCTTGGCCACCGCCGAGAAAGTCAAAGACGATTTCAAGTCCGTCTTTAAGATCAAGGTTGTCCCAAGTCTCCAAGATCTTCCAAAGAAGCCAGAAGTTATTATCGGTACTGTGCCCGCAGAGACTACTACAGAGCCTCAGTTCTCCTCGTTGTTTGGGGACCGGGGGTTGTGTGTCGATATGTCATACAAGCCGAGGCAGACACCGCTCTTGACGGCAGCACAACAGAATCAAGGGTGGGACACGGTTACGGGTGTCGAGGTACTGCTCGCACAGGCATTCGACCAGTTTCTACTCTGGACAGGTCTTGAGCCGCCGAGGGAGATTATGGCGGAGGCAATCGTGGCACTTGATAACCAGCGGTCTACTGTGGCTAAGACTGGTATGCTTTAGATTTGGAATTGAGTAAGCCAGATTAGGAAAAATTGACAGGTATAATATGCAATTGCTTGATTTTAAAACAAACAATAATACACTGATCAATTGACGCTCGACACGAGAAATCCCACTCGAATGATTGGATCATCTGGTTGAATAGATTGAGTGCTCGGCTATTTATTCCATTGCTTTTGTGTCAATCGATGTTCTCCCCACACTTAGATTGCCTGAGATAAGTGGATAACTCACGATGTGTCTTCCATTCTGGCAACCCACAAATTGTCGAAGATGCAATTGGCTTAGGTCTTTGATAAATACATCGCCCTTGGGACATTCGATTACCCCAATCGCGGATTTCCTGCTCTAGGATGGGCAGGTTATGACAATTCACTGGAAGCCATCCAGTAGCCGTAGGCTGGATCAGTAGAGCAAGGACATTCAAAACCCAGAACTTGCTATTGCTGCTTCTTCCAGGGCAGTTGAGACTGCTGTCGTAGGACCTTATTACTCTGTCGACGAATGGATGCAGGGGACGAGTGATATCGGCGATTCGGAATAAGCCCGTAAGAAGTGGAGTGTTGAAGATTCCACCGGTATACTCGTGCTCAGGTCTCAACCCAGATCCCGTGTCTACGACGTGGTATGCCATTCCTCCAACGGAATCCGAGTGGAGATACAGACCCCAGTAGAACTCATTGGGCTCGGGTGGTTCCTGCCGGCCTTGGAGAATGACATACAGTCCGCCAACTTTGAGATCTGCAAGAGACATTTGGAGATGACCGGCCGATGCTCGGGAACTTTAACCCTGGGCTTGTTGGCAGTTTGCTTAATCTGCTTGGGCGTTGGGTAGGCACGAGTTGGGTAGCGCTCATTTTATCTTCACAATGAATACAAATCATCGCGGTGATTTCTTAAGAGTCAGGGACTTCAATCTCGGACACATTGTGTTAATTGTTTCAGCTCATGTGCCCAGGAACTTGTACCCCCATAGCCTGTTGCACATCGAACGCGATTCGTGATGGCTTAGGTCCCAGGTCAAGTCAAGTGTGATTCGGTCTTTTTCTTTAGGTGACAAGTGAATCCGTGGTATATTTCCGGCTCTTTTTTTATCTCCTAAGCTAGCTACGATTCCGAGTTCGTCTTTATCTATCTGGTTGATATCAGCACGGAAGCACTCTCCGTGGGTTGTTCTCCACGTGTCTCGATTTCAAATTGCACTTGGCCGTTGGCATGAGAGATTTGGACTGTCGATCCTTCCACACTATGCAAGCCCGGGGGTTTGTTGGTTCTAGGGAGTAATTTTAGTATGTATCACGTTTGTGTGACTTGGCCAGCAGATTTGTCAGTAGATATTGGACAATGGCCACCAATAGTCTTTCCCATCACATCGCTTTGTGCGGCTCATTATCGGTCTTATCATCATCCCGTGGCAGTGCCTTCTAAGCGCTGCCTCGAAACACAGTCCCTCGTACTACTTGCCGGATGCCGACAGATGCATGGTCACCGGAGTCATGATCAATCATAGACCGTGCATCCGTTTGACAGATCATATCAGGATCAGCCCATATTGCAAACCAAACGGATGCAGCCTTACTGATTATCACATCACACCTAAGAATAATCTATGGAATACAATGCCGAAATTTAAATATCGACCAACTAAATAAGTGACCTCGGAATTTGATTCTCGGCTCCTTCCCTTGAGACATCTGTTCGAGTCGATAACGCATACCTGGGTAACACACCCCATGGAATTGAGTTCCGCTCATCCATGGGAAAGGAAAGTGACAGAGTGGCTAAGTCAAGACAGGCATCGCGCCCGGGGCAGAACCGTGGACGGAACATAAAATCACGCAATTTCTTCCAAGGTTTTCTTATCTTTAATGTTGTGACATCCGTAGAAGTCAAGAGTGTGAAAATATAGTAGGTGAAGCGTGTTAAGTGTTATAGACGATTCTCCACCTTGAGGTGATCCAACGCCCAAATGTGACTTTGCACACATCTGCGGGGTCGGATCCAAGTCCCAAGTCGCGGGGTTTGCGCCTGTCAGAGCTAATATAAGCAGTTCGTAAGCAGCCGCCAGCTTCATTAGGCCTAGGAGAACATCGAAGAAAAGAAGTGTGGGAAATGCTACGGATCAAGCTCCCGATCTGCAGCTATTGCCTCCGTGGAAGAAGAAAAAAAAAAAAAAAACGGCCTGACTTGGATCTTAGTAGGGCAATGGCGATCAAGGTGAAAAACCAGTTGATCGGCATCAAACACTCCGATGATTTATATATGATGGGGGTCCAAGAGCGGGACGTTGACAGGAATAGGAATTTTTCCGATGTATCCAATGATCAAAAGTGACAGAGGTGATTGTGTTGCGGCGGGATGATGCAATTATGCAAGGCGGGCGTCTACTGCAAGCCATCCAGGCGTATAAGAAAGTCATGAATATGCGGTGTCGAGGAAACCATACTGTTTGGTGCCCAACATCATTTGAATTGCTATCTGGAGGATTGCTCGTTATTTCCAAACTCAACCTATTGTACAATTGTATAATTGCACTATTCCACTCTTGCACAGCATAGGTGGACATTGGAGGCCAATGCCCCTAAAAGCGCCAAAGAGGGACCCATCTCCACCAGAACGGCAGATCCACTCTGGAGGGACGAACTGGCTGTACAGATGGTACATCTGTACTTCGTATTCGATAGACAATATAAAGGCAGGAATTGCCTACTTAGAGTAGATTACGAGTAAAAGGAGAAGGCATAAGATAATCTCCGCTATATATTGTTGTTAATTGCACGTTGCTTAATGGGGCCGTGGCTTAAGCCAATCAATTTCCTGGTAGAGATATGATTTAGTAGCGTACCAAAGTCATATATATTAGCGAATTGGCTCGAAAGGAGAAGTTGGTTTAGGGAAATAACAGGGCGACAACACTATTATATAGTTCAGGCTACAATAAAAATAAAAAAGCAAGCAAGTAATAAATAAAAAGAAGCATAGAAACATCAAAAAATGAAATTAAAAAAAGGAAAGTAAATATAAAATCTAGCATCATTCAATGGCGCGCATGTCCCCTTTTTCTGGCCCAATCACCAGTTTTCTCCCCACTATCTCCTGAATTTCCCTTTGCCCCTTCTTCCCCTTCTACTTTTTCTGTTTTCTTTAGAAAAGAAACAAGGTCTTGTTTTATTTTAAATCTTTTGTTTACCCCAGAACTTAAGATTTGAACTAAATAGGATATTCTCCACGAAAAGGAAGAAAAGAAGAACCTTGGAAGCTCGTGGTTTTCTCCATTTATTTCTTCCCGCCAGTTCCAACCTCCCGAACTCTCTCCCCCTAATTCTCCCTTTGTTTTTTTTTTTAGAAAAAAACAGGACTTGGAATTCCGCTTTAAATTGTTCGGCGATTCCTTTCTGACTTAATATCTTTTTTTCGTTTCATTATCTCGACCTGAACCTAACTCATAATGGCCTCAAAGGTGAGATTTATCCAATGTCCTTTCGAAGACTTGGTCTGAACATTCCCAATGGCTAACCCCATATTTACCAGTTCCTAAGAGAATACAAGCTGGTGGTTGTCGGTGGTGGTGGCGTCGGAAAGTCCTGCTTGACCATCCAGCTGATCCAGAGTCACTTCGTGGACGAGTACGACCCAACAATTGAAGGTGAGCACTTCGAAAGCACCCCCCAGTTTCATCAGCCGCGCGGATCGTGTCGCGTTTTCCCAGGGGTGTCGGACCCCTAGTTGAACAACAGCTGATTCGGAATCTTCTTCCGTCTACAGATTCCTACCGCAAGCAGTGTGTGATCGATGATGAAGTCGCTTTGTTGGATGTCCTGGATACAGCCGGCCAGGAGGAATACTCGGCTATGCGAGAACAATACATGCGAACTGGCGAGGGATTCCTGCTCATCTACTCCATTACCTCGCGCCAATCCTTCGAAGAAATCATGACCTTCCAACAGCAAATCCTGCGCGTCAAGGACAAGGATTACTTCCCCATCATTGTTGTTGCCAACAAGTGCGATTTGGAAAAGGAGCGTGTGGTCTCCGAGCAGGGTATGTTTCCATATGTTCTCATTTACATCCAACCACCCCTGGACTCTCTCCCTCCCCCCTTGAGTTCTTTCCTCGCAGCCTAAATCCAAATCCTCAACTCCGCTAACAATTCACCGCCTACAGAGGGCGAAGCGCTCGCCCGCCAGTTCGGCTGCAAGTTCATCGAAACATCCGCCAAGTCCCGCATCAACGTCGAGAACGCCTTCTACGACCTCGTCCGCGAGATCCGTCGCTACAACAAGGAAATGTCCTCGTACCCGTCCGGCTCCGGCGCGTTCGGCGCCCGCGCACCAGAGGGCAAGATGGACGTGAGCGAGCCGGGCGAGAGCGCCGGCTGCTGCTCGAAGTGCGTCATCATGTAAAAAAAAACAAAAAGCTCCCCCAACATCAAAATTATCCGAATCGCTGCGATGCCCTTGTCTCGATACAAACCCGAAATCCGAAATACGCAACACATACACATGTCGGGAAGAGTTACGGGAATGGATTTATATGTCCGAGTGGTGCACCCCTTGGAAAAGTTGGATATCTTGTTTTAATCTTTGAATGGCCTTAATCTGCAACCCCCGCCACTCAGATCACAGATGGGAAAATACGGAGACTGCAAACACGAAAGATTGCAAGCTCGAGAAACAGAAAACAACCAAACCAGAAAAAAATACCAAAGAAGAAGTGGCATTGTCGATTGTGTTACGGATGTTTGTGGGTTCTTCAACTCGCATTCTTGATGACTGCCGACCTTGACGCCCAACCTCGTCTCACGAAACATTTTGATTCCCCTTTTGTTGTCCGATTGCGTCTTTGTTTTAGTCCCCTTTTTTTATTATTGTCTTTTTATTGTTCAAGTCTTTGCGAAAGATTCCTGGTGTTTGTTATCTATCGCCTCCTATTATCATTATCCGTGTTGATCCCACGAGACGACACGGCTGTCAATATATGTTCTTTCAGGGCAAGGTGGA